ACCACATAAAAATTGGGTTAGTCTAAGGGAGGGGGGAGGGAAGGGTATATGAGGAACCTGGGGGATAAGGAGAAAGAAGAAGCTCAACAGAGGTAGGATCATAGGAGCAAGGGTATTAGTAAGGGCACCTTAAGTAAGAAACTTTTTTAAAAAGGATAGATACTAAATGACAAAAAGCATAAGTCACAGCTCATACTGGGAAAAATGTGGGGATCAAACTCAGGTTGTTGGGTTTGGTGGCAAGTGCTTTTACCAGCTGAAGTAGCCTTCTGGCCCATGCCTTGAGATTGTAAAGCTCCTTGCCTACAGATAACTATATTTGCTCAGAATTAAGAAAATAAGATAGAAAGTTAAAAAAGAAAAAGAAATACAAGTAGGTTCACCTGACTCAGAGAAAGTTAAAATCTCAGCTAAAATATGAACAGGTTTCCAGAGATGAATTTAATCATCAGCCTTAGTGCCACACTCCTTTACCCACTGAGCCAACTCTGTGATTCTACTGTTGTTTTGTTTTTTTAATGTGTATGAGTGTTTTGCCTGCATGTATGTAAGTGCACCATGTGTGTGCAGTGCCCACAGAAGCCAAAAGATGGCATCAGATCCCCTGGAACTGGAGTTATGGATGGTTGTTAGCCACCATGTGGATGCTGGAACCTGAACCTGGGTCCTCTGCAAGAACAGCTAGCACTCTTAATCTCTGAGCCATCTCTCTAGCCCTACTAAAAAAATTTTAAGGAGTCTTTAAAACACCAAAGTCCTACCAAAACAAAAGTCTGCTTAACTATTTCTGAAAGTTGTGCTCTTCTGACAGAGCTGTGACCCCACAGAAAGGATCTTAGACAACACTATGCCTCTCAGATTCTCCTGTTTATACTTTGCATTGTGAGACAAACTCATGTACAAATGCCTCAACTGTATTCCACAGCACCCTCACTTTCACTTCAACATCTGAAATACAGGCATCTTTTTTATCCTAACACTGTATTTTGTGTGATTTTTTTTTCCTTTGTTATTCCTGAAGACAGGGTTTCATGTATGAGGATGCTATGTAGCTGAGGATGACCTTAAACTTGGGATCCTTTTGCCTCTACTTTTCTAGTGCTATGATTACTGGTGTGCATCACCTCACCTGGTTTATGTGGTGCTGGGGTTGAATCAGGCTCTGTGCATGCTTTGCATGTATTCTACCAACTGAACTACATCCTCAGCCTTTGACTTTATATTTTCAGGAGATGGCAAAAGAAGTGTTATCAGGAACTATGTGATGGTTAATCCTGTCAATTTGATGAGGTTTAGAATCTCAATGGAAACAAACTTTGGGGCTTGTCTGTGAGGGATTATTTAGATTAGTTTAACTGGGGTGGGAAGACCCACCTTAAAAGTGGATGGTACTATCCCATGGGCATGGGTCCTAACTGAATCAAAAGTAGACAGCCAGCTAAGCACAGCATTCACTACTCTCTGCCTCCTGGTTGTGGATGCAATGTGACTAGCTGTCTCAAGCTCCTGCTACCATGACTTTTCTGCCATAATGGACAATTCCTGCAAGCTGTGCAGGAAAATAAGCCCTTTCCTTCTTAAGTTGCATTTGTCAGGTAATTTGTAGCAACAAGACAAGAAACTAATACAGAAAATTGGTATGGAGAAGTGAAGCCATTGCTGCTGTCCTAGTTAGGACCTATGTCAACTTGACATAGCCTAGAATCACCTGAGAAGAATCTCAATTGAGTAACTGTTTTTATCAGGTTGGTCTGTGATAGACTGTCTTAATTGTTTATGCAGGAGGGTCCAGTCCACTGTGGGTAGCACTATCTCTAGGCAAATGGTCCCTGGGATGTATAAGAAAGCTAGCTAAGCCAGGCATGATGGTGCATGCCTTTAATCCCAGCACTTGGGAGGCAGAGGTAGATGGATCTCTGTGAGCTCAAGGCCAGCCTGCTCTACATAGGGAGTTCACAGGGAGATCCTCTCAAAAGAGACCAAAAAAAAAAAAAAAAAATGCTAGCTAAGCATGAGCCAATGAGAAATCCAGAGGGTGAATTCCTCCATGGTTCCTACCTCTAGGTTCCTGCCCTTGAGTTCCTGCCCCAACTTTATGTGCTGCAGGTGACAGAGATGAAGGAATGGGGATACTCAGGCCATTTAGAGCCTGGAGGATTCCATCACAAGCACTAGGTGCTAGAGCATGCTGCTACAGGATTTAGTGTTGGTCTTGCTGGTCTGCTTTAGTCTGATCATTCTTTGCTATACCTCCATTCTTCCCTTCCAGAAAGCTTATTCTGTGTCATTGTATATTGGACATAAAATAGTGTTATTTTGTAGGAACTTGAAGTTAAGGGACTGCCTTGGGTCACAGATGAGGCTTGGACTTTAGACTTTCAAACAGTGTTAAAGACAGTGAAGACTGGGGGCTGGAGAGATGGCTCAGCAGTTAAGAACACTGACTGTTCTTGCAGAAGACTCAGGTTTGAATCCCAGCACCCAAATGGCAGCTAACAACTGTCTGTAGTTCCAGTTCCAGGGGCTCCAACAGCCTCTTCTGTCCTCTTCAGGCATTGCATGACACAGGTGTACCTACCTACATGCAGGCAATACACAAATACACATAAAATAAAAATAATAAATAATAAATATTAATAAAAAATAGTAACTATTTAAAAAAAAAGATCAGGAAAAACATGTGGCACAGAAGATCAGAAGGCTTAATGTTCCTACCCAATAGCTGTACTTCTTGCTCATCTGAATTATATTGGTGCTGGATACATGGTGGTAATCAAAGTATCAAGGTTAATTTTCTTTTACAGTGTAACTTTTTGATAGACAACTATTTCTGCATGGAGCTATCTGGTCATGCTCTACTTTCAGGGTTAGTAAATTACTGCCCATGGGCATCCCACTCCTGTCTTTAAAAAATGTACTGGAGCACAGTCAGAATTATTCACTCTTATGTTATCTATGGCTGCTTTCTTATTTCAAAGGCAGGATGAAGAGGCTGTAATGCAGATCTGATGGCCCAGAAAAGCCCCTGCCCTTTTAAAACAAAACAATTTTTAGTCCTAAAAACTCTTAACTAGAATACAGACTTTAAGTGGAAATTTAAAATAATTTATCATTTAGTCTTCATAGGCTAATTCTTGTCCCTAACAGGCACAACAGGCTGCTCCAACTTAAGGTCAAGCTACTTTGGTTTATCTCTGAAACAAATGTAAGTTTAATAGATATAAAGGACCACAGAATTCTCCTAAGAATCACTTGACCTTCCTGAGAATAATGGCAGGAAAATCCAAGTTTTTCTCATTTGCAACCAATATGAAAAAACTGCAAATTGGCACTCATCTCAAAAACTACAGGGTGATAAGCAAAATGAAAATATCCTCCACCTACGAGAGAAGCTTCAAAGAGAAACCAGCACAAACCTTGCGTGTTCTTAAAGGACATGATGGCCTGTCTGTAGGGGTTTGGTGTGTCTGAGGCATCTGTCAGGTTTGCCAGCACCAACAGAAGCAGGAGACTCTGGTTGGCCAGAGGGGACGTAAGCTCTGGAGAGGCAACTGCTTTGCTGCCCACACCGCCTAGTGTGAAGACAGTCCAGAGACCAGCTTGAAAAGAAACATACAGTTAGGATGACAGTCACCAAGATCAAGTATATGTGATAGTTTATGCTTAAAATTATCAACATTTTTTTTTATTTTTCTTATAAAAGCAAAACAGGCTTATTATTTGAATAATCTCCTACTGTCCAAACAAAATGTTTTAAGGAGGAATATCAGTCCCTGACTGCAGAATTCTATTTCACTTTCCATAGATAAATCCTATTCCTAATTTTTCTTTACAAATGGAAATTAGCATAACCAAATGCAAATTTGCATCCATCTTTAACCTGTCCACATTAGTCAGAGACTACAAATACAGCAGTGTGCACGCTGTTCCTTTCACTGTGTACCTAAGAGCACTGAGCTCCTTCCCAAGAATACTGAAACAAGGAAAAGAGAGGTGTTAAAGCTGGGGGTATCATTATTTGTAGGCAATGTGACCGTCCACTTAAAACCACATGGTCAGACACAGCAGGCACTAGCCATTGACAGCTACTGAGCAAACACTGTAAAGTCTAAACTGAAGTGTGCAGCAGCTACAAGACACACAATTTTGAAGAATTAACATTAAAAAACAGGAGCTAGACATAGGTAAAGACTTCGTGAACAGGACCCCTGTTGCATAGGAAATAAGGCCAATTATGAGCAAATGGGATCTCATGAAATTAAAATGTTTCTATACAGCAAAGCAGTTAACCGAGTAAAGAGGCAGCCTACAGAATATGTGAGATTCTTTGATAGCTGTACACCTGTCAGAAGATTAATATCTAGAATATACAAAGAACTAAAAAATCCAAATAATAACCCAATCAAAAAATGAGCTAAGAAGCCAAACAGAAAGTTCTCAAAAGAAGAAATACAAATGATCAATAAATATTCTCCCCCCCCCCTTTTTTGTTATTGGATTTTGTTCTGTTTCCTTGCCTTTTTTGAGACATAGCCTCACTATGTAGCCCTGGTTGGCCAAGAACTCACTATGTAGACTAGGCTGGCTTCGAACTCATAGAGATCCACCTGCCTCTGCTTCTGCTTCCTGAATGCTGTGATTAAAGGCATATGCAACCACATGTGGGAAATGCTTATTTCTATTTTATGTGTATAAAGTGTTCTGCCTGCATGTAAATGCACCATGTGCATCCACGGAGACCAGAAGAGAGTGCTGGCATTACAGCCTGTTGTTAGCAGTCATACGGGTGTTGATAATTGAACCCAGGTCCTTTGCAAGAGCAATAAGAAAGTTTAACCACTGAGTTATACCTCTAGGGCTCCTTGTTTGCTTATTTTTTTAAAAAAATTATTTATTATTTCTATTTTTTTGTGTATGAGTATATTGCCTGTGTGTATGCAAGTGCACCCATGTAGTGCAATGCCCAGGGAGGCCAGAAGAGGGTGCTAAATCTCCCTGGAACTGGAGTTATGAATGACTGTTAGCCACCATATTAAGTGCTGGGAATCAAACCCAGGTCCCCTGCAAGATTAGCCAGTGCTCTTTAATCATGGAGCCATTTCTCTAGCCCTGTTTGCTTGTTTTTTGAGATGGCCTATGTAGCCCTGGCTAGCCTGGAACTCACAGAGATCTGCCTGCTTCCAATGCCGAGTGCTGAGATTAAAGGTGTGTGCCACTATGCTTCACTATTTTATTATTTTTGTTTGTATGGTGTGTGTGTGTGTGTGTGTGTGTGTGTGTGCATCAAGTATGTGTATATGTGTATGCAGGAATTCCTATGAGTTTGGGGGGTACATATGTCATGATACATCAGAGGATCACCTTAGGTACTAGTACAAACCTCTTACTTTGCTTGAGACAGAGTCTCTAGTTGTTTGCTACTACATATGTCAGGCTAGCTGGCCCAAGAACTTTTGGGAATTAAAACTACTCTGATAGTCCATTTTATCCCTGTCAGAATGGCTACGATCAAGAAAACAAATGACAACAATTGCTGGAGAGGCTGTGGGGGAAAGAAGAACCCTTGTTCACTGTCGGCACGAGCGTAACTAGTACACCCACTGTGAATTCAGTGTGATGGCTTCTGCAAAAGCTGAAAATAGATCTTCCTTTGGACTAGCTATACCACTCTTTCCCATATGCCCAAGACTCCATCCTACCAGAGACACTTGTATATCCTGTTCATTGCTGCTCACCTCACATTAGCAGGGAATCACCCTAAATGTCCATCAATGGATGACTGGATAATGAAAAGGTGGTACATATACACAACGGAATTTTATTTATGCATAGAAAATTGAGGGAAATAAGAGGTCAGAGACTCAGAAAAAGAAAGGCTTCATGTTCACTCTTCCTAGGCGCACCTCAGGTTCTACTTTTTCTATCTGCATATCTATAAGGAAGCAAAGGAGTAGAGTTACCAAACTAGAAAGGGGCCCAGGAGGGGGGGAATTTTAGCAGAAGATTACCCGGGAATTAAATCTCAGTAAATGTGATCTATGCTATATTTAAAACCCAAAGAGTAATAATTCATTGGATTAGCAGCTAGTCATTTAAGAGATATTTTAAATTCCTGGCTATGTTGTTAGGAACTGTTGTTCAAATTTATTTCCAGATGTACTTCTTCTGATTAATAATGTTACTGAAAATATTGTGGTATTTTGTTCTTAGACAATATAAAAATTTTCATGTTTCAATAGTCCTCATTATATAAATTTAAATCTAATAAAAGTAACACATTGAAGAGAGGCCTTTTATTTCAGCTGAAATATTTTGTGAACTTTTCATTTATTTCTTTAAAAACTATGAAAATATTAAAGTAACAGAATTTGGCCCACACTGGTACATCATTATATAGGATATGGAAAATCTTCATTTGAATACCACTGAGTAAAAAGGCACAAAACAGCACTTGTATACAATAATATGCCCCATTTGTTTTGAAGCTTTGTAAATACACATACTTGGACATATCAATCCACCTACATGTGTGTGTAGCAGGACCTGCTATGGTCTGGTCATGTCAGGTCACAGAGAAGAGGGCATGTGAAAAGAACCTGCTGAGTCTCAGCTTTTAGAGCATCACTCTATTGCCTAACTCATAACACAGAGAGCAAGGATGGAAGTAAGGGAAGAAGGAGAATTCTTGGTCATCGGCCCAGAAAATATGATGCAATGTGCTTTGAAACTGAGAATGTAGCACTATAATTCTTATTTAAACAAAAAGAAGTAAAAGGAGGGAAAGGGGTAGGGAGAGAGGGAGAGAAATGTTTGGAGGGATGGAAAGGAAAGCAAAGAGTCAGGGAAGGAGGGAGACAGGCTGATAATTTTGGAGGGGAAAAAAATCACCATGTTAACACTGACTATATCTAGAAAAGTAGCAAGAGACATGACACTGTAATCTCTGCATGTGTCTATGATTTTTGTTACTTTTCTTTTGTGTTTCGATGAGACACGATCTCACTACATAGCCCTGCCTGGCCTGGGATGTGCTAAGTAGACCAGGCTAGCCACAAATTCACAGAAAGGTCCGGCTGCCTCTGCCTCCTACTGCTGGGACTAAAAAGGAATACCACCACACCTGGCTCAGGTTACTATTCAGGAAACACATTTACACAAGGAATTTTATGCTTTTGTAAAGAAATTAAATATGGCCAGGCATGGTGGCACACACCTTTAATTCCAGCAGAGGCTGGAGGATCTTTATGAGATCAATCAAGGCCAGCCTGGTCTACATAGTGAGAGCTAGGCCAGCTGAGGCTACAGGGAGACAAGATACACACAAGCGCACACACATACACACACACACACACACACACACACACACACACACACACACAAAGGGGGGGGAGAAGAAAAAGAAAAGAAACAAATAAAATGGAAACTACTATATACAAAATAAGCAACTCATAACTTTAGTCTGTCTGAACACACTATGGCTCATGATGGCATTTTTAATACTTTTCTATAAATAATTCAAAGAAGAAATTTATTTTTTCTAATATTTTACATTTTTACTGAATACAAAATATAAACTAAATCATAAAGTGCCTATCAATATGTCATTTCTCCACAAATTATGGGCATAAAAATCTCAAACAAAAAATTGTTTCAAATTAATTTTTATTCTTATTTTAAGTGGATGAGTGTTTGGCCTGCATGTAAGTGTACCCATGTCATGCAATGTCCACAGAGGCCAGAAGAGGCATCAAATTCCCTAGAAATGGAGTTACAGAGGCTGTTAACTGCCATGTGGGTGCTGGGAACAAAACCAGGTCCTCTGCAAGAGCAGCCAAGTGGCTCAATTGCAGAGCTACCTCTTCAGCCCTAAAAATCTCAAACATTTTATACCATTAGATCCCCTGGAGTTGAAGTTACAGGCAGTTCTGAGTTGACCAACATGGGTGCTAGGATTCAAAGATGGGTCCTCTGCAAGAGCAGTCCTCATGCTTATGCGCTGAGTCATCTCTCCAGACTAATTAAGCTTTTTCTATGAATCATTTGAGTGGATTTAACTATCATTATTATGATTTTTTATGATTTTATTATGATTTATTATGATCAAGGAGGCCAAGGAGACCCCACCAGATGGACTTGAACCAGTGTCCAGTCTATAAAGAGGAGGGTCAACACAGAGGAATC